CAAAGGTGGTAGCTTTTTCATTGAACCGCGGTTTACAATGGTGACCGCCGCCCCAGTATCTAGCTCCATGTCTACCGGTTCATCCTCTATCATCAAACGTATTGTATAAGGAGGACAGTTTTTGTGTGTCACACTCTTCAAGTACACGGAGTTAAGCTCACTGTTCAAATATTTTAGGACATTATCTTCCCGTAACTCTATCTTGCTTTGACGATTTGATGAGGCGATGTTCGTGGGGCGGGAACTTTCCGATCTACAGACGCGTGCTAGATGACCTATCTTGCCACATTTCCGACAGATACTTTCTTTGTGCCGGCAATCGGAAGCGTGAGAATGCCGCAAACCGCATCGATAACACACAAATTGTTTTTGATTTTCACTGCTGTCTGATTTACGGATCGCCTGCACATCATCAGCTACCTGCCGACCGGTGAAATCGCGTAATTGGTGTGTAATGTTCGCACGTTGGCGAACGATGAGACAAACGTTTTCCCACGTGGTGGCCGACTCATCCAAGGATAGCAACTTCTCTCTAGCACTTTCGTCCGATATTCCCGCAATCAAACATTGAATTTTCATTTGCTCTTCAATTTTTCCAGGTGGAATATCATTATACTTACAATCAGGAATGGGTTGGTGAATATGTGCAATGAAATCATTGACGCTTTCGTTCGGCTTTTGGACAAGTTTTGAAAAGCAGTATCTAGCAGTGTAAGCATTTTGTTCCAGCCCCCATAACGTGGTATAAGTATCCAAAGCAGAACTGAGGGTGGCATAATATTCCAGTTGTAGGGCATCGTAGTGCCTCTGACCTTCAGCGCCAAGCACTTGCCTGAATAGTGTGATTTTGTGAGCCTCAGAAAGACAAACGGTCGGATTCAGTACAGGAAGTAATTCCACGTAGTTAGTAAATGATTTTCTCCATCTTATCCAATTCGATAAGGTCGGTTTTTCCTCAGCAGATGACCAGAATATCGGAGGTGTATTCAACAGTGGGTTCGTCATTTTCGTCGCCACTAATACGTAGTGCCACTAAGCATGTAACGCACGCTTCCGAGACACGTAATCCCAGCAAGCAGAAGACGTCTAAACAGCAGGAGGTTTATCAATCAATTGAGGAAGGTACAAGACTCACGGAACTCGCGTTGCGAGACCGGGGGTGTGTGTCTGATGATTGGCTGGCCGTTTTGTGTGGTAACCAATCCACGCACGGCTGAGTAAACGGATCGAAGTCATTCGCATACGTGCCAGTCGTTGCCGTCCTCCGTAGCTCAGTGGTCTCAACCGCGGACTGGCAACAGTCGAGATGCGGGTTCGAGCCCTACCAAGGGTCCGATGGAATGCGCACTGCTGATGATTCCTGAAAGGATGAAACGCGCGTACAGTGCATTTCCGGGCGTGTGGCGGCTGTCTGAATGAGTCTGGATGTGACGAATTTCTATCCATACCATTCAACTCCCCCTACTACTCTTCTGTAATCAGTTCGCAGACCAAACCGCCTATAAGGCCATAAGTTAACTGGCGGCTTAATTTTGCTGAGCTTGTCGCTTGGTGAAGGGGCCACCCTGTCTTCTGCACGGCAGTAACGTGTAAGTCAGTGGATAGTGAGCGGCGCTATATCACATCTAGTAATTTATTCACGATGGTCGTTGCCGTCCCTCATAGCTCAGTGGTCTCAACCACGAACTTGCAGCAGTCGAGATGCGGGTTCGGGCCCTACCAAGGGTCCGATGGAATGCACACTGCTGATGATTCCCGAAAGGATGAAACGCGCGTACAGTGCTTTTCCAGGCATGTGGCGGCTGTCTGAGTGAGTCTAGATGTGACGAATTTCTACCCATACCATTCAACTCCCCCTACTACTCTTTTGTAAAAATGATAGTCCCCCACCATCTGAACGACACATTCCAATTTGTCGAAAGGGATAAAAACGTAAACATACTGGATTATCGCATGCTCTCCCTGGACCTCGTAGCGTCTTTTTACTAATGTTCTGCTATTAGAAACAGTAGATTGCCTTTGTAAAACATTGGGTCCCCTTCAGCCACTTGATCAAAGCGGAAAGAAGACATCGATTGCGATATGTCATTATTTCGATTGTTTTCCCTAATCACATACACAATACAAGCAGAAACACTTGCACAATGCATACATGGGGAAAAATTTGCACACCAATCAAAACGTCAACATCAAGACCAAGGCAATCTGATTGATTGCCTCAAGTTTCTGTACACATAGCACAGGTTGATAGCCCCGAATTAGCAACGTTTCACTGATTGCCAACATTATCGAATTCCGGTTACGTACTAGCACTTTGAACGCAGTCTTCGGGTCCACATCGTGACCAGTTGCCACGAGGTGCTTGGTGATAGTTGATGACAGAATCCGGTTTAATCTGCGGGCGCTCTAGTTTATTGCCTATATTTTCATAGACAGGACTAACCGTCGATTGGCTCAGAGAGTGACTGAACACTTGCCAAAGTGCATGGAACAAAGGATGACGCAACAAACTGGAGCGCTCCCCAGAATGAACGGGATTCCGTCTTCATCTATCACCAAGCACCTCGTAACAATTGGTCACAAGGTGGACCCGGAAACTGCGTTCAAAGTGCTTTGACCTAATCGGAATCCCATAATTTTGGCAATCAGTGAAACATCGCTAATTAGGGCCTATCAACCTGTGCTATGTGCACAGAAACTCATGAGACAATCAGTCAGATTGCCTTGGTTTTGATGTTGACGTTTTGATTGATGTGCCAATTTTTCCCATGTATACATTGTGTATGTGTTTCTGCTTGTATTGTGTATGTGACTGAGGAGAACAATCAAAATGTTGACCTATCACAATCTGTCTTCTTTCTGCTCTGATCAAGATTTCCTTTGCCCCTTCATTGACCGACAAATCATAAGCATAGAACTCCCAACTGGTCAAATCATGCATCTTTTCCGCAGATGCAGATACAAGGTCCAATTTCAGTTTAACAATGAAGTATACAGACCAGTAGATGCATCCAGCGCCGGAGCATACAACAAAATGTTTTTATGTTTGCGTGTATCTATAGTAATATCTTCTCTCCAAGTTCTCTTGTTTTCCACACTACTGAGGTTTCTGAAAGTGATAGTTGCACACAAATCCGCTTCCTCAGGACACAATGCTTTCAAAGCTTCCAGTATACACTCGTTGTCTAAGTTGCCAATCGTAAACGTCTTTCCTCCTGCCATCTTATGCACCTTTGTACCCCTAGTACGAGTGAGCGCTTTAGTTTCACAGAACAATCTCGTGATCAGAAGTGATGGTGTTTCTAAACAAAGTTTTCTGGACTCATATTTCCCCTGCCGTTGCTTCCCGGAAAACTGTATATGCTAATGGGTGTTCCGTTTCATAATATGGCCGGAGATTGCAGTCTTCAAAACGGCAGTACTTTCGCCGCATATAACGCAACACTGGTTTTCCAGTTCAGCGTTTCCACTAGTGCTTTACTCCCTATTCTTCATTGAAAACGCGACACTCAGTGCACATTTTCCTCTTCTCAGTAGCCATAAGGTGCGGTGCAAAACAGAGCTGGAAATGCGAATGGCACTTAATTGAAAACATAATTCACATTCTACTAGAACACAAACAATGCAAGTATGTGAGAGTCTCTGGGGAAGCTACGGATGCCCAAATGTGCACGTGAACTTTGTATCACACAGTTCATAGGTAGCTTTGATAATACTAGATAGCACGGAATGAATGTTGCAAATATATGCATAGGGCCGACATAAATTAACAGCTTGCAGCAGTGGTTTAAATAAATGTCCATCAGAATTTGCCTCATTGTGACCCAGAACAGGTACATCGGTGGTCAACCAAGAATCTGCTGAAGTTTATCACAACGGAATGCAAGATACTCTGCATTCGACACCACAGTATATATGGTAGGAGCACAAGTACTGCAGCGATCTTACATTCTACGCTACCTGCATGTGTTCAGGATCACTTCGGTTGTTCCCGGCAATTTGGAAAGGCATCGAAAACTAGGAATCTACACATCGGTCTGTTGCCACGAGCATTCGGACAAATTGACTTCCCTATTTTCCGACATGCTCATTGCGTATGTTCGCCCCCATGTCGAATAGGCAATTGCGGCCTGGCAGCCATGGCTGCAGTACGACCTCACTGCACTGGATCAATCTAAATGTCGTGCTTGCAAGTACGTCAAAGGAATGCGCATAGGCTGAAACCTTTGCAAGTATTTAGAGCACGGTTTCGCCGACTACGAGAAGGCCGGTTAATGGCCTGCTTGATTTTACACAACCAAATTCATGCGTACCGCTTCGTACTGCAACTCAGCAGTAACACAAACTTGAGAGGTCACTCCAAGAAAGTATTAGCACAGTACAGCCGGCTAGAGTACCACAGAACCTTCTTTTCCATTCTCGGATGTCGCCCGCGGTATGCTCTCTCTCTGATTCTCTCTTTCCTGCATCTACACTTGACAAATTTCAAAGACTGTTGAGTGCCGCACTCAGTCACCTCCATTTTATTACTTATCACTATCTCTCCGTCTTACTCTTGTGAGGTACCTTGAATTTATTATTTGTCGCTCATTGGATCTTAGAAACTACGCGGATTACAGGAGTACTGTATTAAAAACGACAAATCCACTCTTTTGACAATAAAATTACTAACTGCATTTCTTCTTTAACCTTTTTCGATAACCCACCGGACGACCAAATGAGGATTGTAAAGCAGCGCTTCTTAACCCTTATAAGTCATTACTCATTGCTCATCCCTACCTGTGCTGTCATCTGCAAAGTCATTTGCACTGCACATTTTTATGACACTGAATAATCACTACAACCTGCAAGCGTATTGAGAGCTTGAATATACACAGCACTCACAAAATATATCTATGGTCAAGCCTAATACGGTACCCCGGGGTAGGTGCAGTTCGATTTCGCACAACTTTCCGGAACGCACGTACGGCTTAGCTGCTTCATTCGCCTTCTTAGTTTCCAGTCTGTTCTGCGCCCTATAAACTCATTCAACTCGTTCGACTATGCCTCCTCAGATCTATGTGAGCGGCGGCTCACTCCGCGAATGCCATGGCACGACATTGCTTGTGTGATGACCGGAGCAGTGGCCACTGATTTATCACGTCACTTCATTCAACGCTGGAACGCGATTCGAGTGAGTTATACTGTGTTTCACTAAACACCTGCTACTGGCCATTGATCTGGACAATGTATACCACAATCTACTTATCGATTATATAATCGTCGTCGTCAAACTCCCGGTTACCCGGTCTATTCTTTTCAGTCTTTACTTGAGAACCGCTACCTCCTCAGAAAGTCTAGATGATGATCTGATATGTCCACGATTTCGTAGTAACTATGTTCACTTATCTCCTGTTTGGTCTCAATGACTGCCTCATTCAACTCGAACTAGTCTAATCCCTTGAAAACGATACCCCAAAGAGAACCGCTTGTACTTGCACAGTATCGGACGGCGAGATCACGTTACGCAGCAACAGCCCGTTAAGACGTTTGAGTTGTCAATGTCAGTTGCAATAGGGTAAAAGACTTCCGTTTTCACTTTTTCTGGGACACAAGAAAAATTCACTGCTGCCGAGTACATAGCCAAAGATATCACCGGTTGATGTTACTAGAGCGTGCGGTGAATGTTTCAGCAGATCTGCCCTTGGGCAGTTATTTCTGGGTAAAATACCAACAGCTGCTGCTCTGTAAAAATAAATGCTTCAAATTTCGTCCACCTTAACTTATTGCATAAAATGTCAGTGCAGTGAAAATTTAAGGTCCCAATACCCTTCTATAACGTACCGTAATATGCTCCAAAACGAAATTTGACAACTTCATGCATATTTTCAGAACAACCGGCTCCGGAACTCGACCAAAGGCACAACTGATCGAGAGCGCCACCGTAAAAAACCACTTCTGTTGCCTTGCTACCCTTGCGAACCGTGGACTACATTTCATCTGGACAAAGTACTGGTGGATCCTCGTCAATCTTCTGTTTGTCAAGCTCAGGTTCTGCGCAGCGTCTGTGATTGGTCGCTCGGCGTTCCTGCTGGCAACGTGCGAAAGGGTTTGCGTCAGGAATTTCATGAATGGATAAAGGGATCCGACAAGGTTACCGGATCATCCACTAATAATCAGGACACTGAAATAGGTCTGGAGACGTCTATTTTGTCCGCGTACATTAACTGCATTTTGGACGCCGAAAACTTCGTGTATATTGAGAATCAATTTTTCATCAGTTTTATCACAATATCTGATGAAGACGCGGAGAAAGCCTCCATGGACCAGTTAGACGTGCCCAGCACACACAACGCTGGATCTCACACACTGACACATCACAGTGCATTCACACGTTTGCCCCCATCGTCACACAGTCCGAAAGTCAAAAATCGTATCATGGATGCATTGTTCATTCGCATACTACGAGCGCACAGGTGTTTACTCCCTCACATTTCACATAAACAAATTTCCCCAGCATAAAGTTGTTTTTATCATTGGTCGATTTACGCTAGAAGAACTCGCGGATCCTGAATTATCAGCAACATTGAAACATTTGATTGTGATTCCACACGTTCCCATTGTTCATCGGGCTCCGCTTCTCACTTGCAGCATCTCTTCTTCGGGGCCCCAACTAGGAATAAGCCAAAGATCAACCGCGAGGCCTCAAGCATTTATACTATTCATTGTCAGCTACCTACGCGTTCCCACAGCCTAGCATTTTCTTAGAGCTGTTCGCACTGTCTTTTAACCTACGAAGCAAGGGACGAATTTTTGCTCACGTAAAAATTCACTTACTTTTTCTGCAACGTTGTGATTCAGAGAAGTGCGTTGGGAGTCAATTGTAGAAATGAGCGCCCACTTTGTCACTGTAAGCTTGTGATGCATTGTGTGGCGTGTTTCAAAGCTAAATGACAGGCATCTGGTGGCTGATTAGACAATGTTCACTCTATAGTAGATTATTGGAGCTACTGCTGCCACCGCAGTGGACATTTCATGAGAAACGCCCCTCTGTTTCCCTTGATTTCACCACCTCATGCGTCCACAAAGGCGGCAGCATTGTGTTATCTTCAACAATATAACAAGGGAATCAAAAGGTTTTGGTGCTTTGACGAAGTAATCTTGTGCTTATAAGTAGCAGACTGTGCCACCTAGTTTTTGACTGCATGATAACCCATTCGAAAGACATTTCAACGTACCGTATTGATCATGTGATTTGACAGCAACTAATACTCTGCGATTAGGCGCTCACACTGGTGTGCACAACGGGGTTAAGGTGCACGCAAGGACCAGGGCTTGATGGACTAAACAACTGTCGCGGTTCGGATTGGTCGTCCTTCTGATCGATACCAAGACCCAATAAGTTTGTTACACGCTGCAGTTACTACTGTTCTTGAAGCCGACTGCTATAAACGACCACGTGTAGCATTTGTTTTGAGCAATGAGGTGCAGAGGGTGGTAACACTGTTTAACTGAACTATTCTTCAAAACGTAATGGTTGCTGAATGACATGATAATCAGCTGAATCTCCTTCCACTGAATAGTTCTACTGAGGTAATATTACAACATGGTTTTCTTCCCAGCCACTGCTGTCTCTCGGTTTAAGGCTTTTTCAATCTATTTTTGTGCGTTAAGAAAACGAGTTTTGTTCTACAAATCTGCCACCATCTTCCTTTCGTTCTATTATTTCCAGACAGAGAAAACCTTTCCGCTTGTATATTATCCTCCCCTTGGTACCGGGTTTTGTGGGCGAGTACGGTGATCCTTCAGCCAGATCGTTGTACCGCATCCTACATTTCACGCGGCTCAGCCTGTTTGTAGGGTCAAACGCACTCATCCCTAGGCTGAAAACATTCATACCAAACCCTGATGAATATGTTTCAATTTGCGGTCTACGAACATATAACGAATGGCCGGATGGAAACATGGTAAGTTCGCCTCTACGTTCGTGTTCAACGCGAAAAGCCCTAATGTAAAGGTTTTCAAGACCGGCGTAACAAATACGGTGTAATCGTTACACCACGTGTCACTCATGCTATCCCTGTTGACATTTGAACTGCACGTAAACCGTCGTTGAAATATGGCTGTGCAGCAGCTATATTCCCTACTGCGTTTAGTACGGTTATCCATATCAAAGTGGTTCACAGTGTATCGTTTTCACAAAACTTCAAGAGTAAATAGTTCACGAAAGGTTTTTTGTACAACAGGTTAGATAAACATTCGGGCTTCTTTTCATTGCCACATCCTGTGGTCACTTTCGTGCATCTCTAGCAATCACGTTATAGGCGGATGCGAGAACACAAGATTGTGAAGAGTATCTTGAAAACAAACCAGATGTATTTACGTTTCATCAGTTCCGTCTCCGAGTTTTCTCACATAACATCACCGATCCATCACTCACAACACATTAGAATAGGTAACTGGAAATGGATTTAGTATTCTCAACTACGAGCCCATTTTCTTGGTAAATGAAATCGGCTGAATAATATTCCTACGATCTTTACGTGTGGCGCTAATTGCCTCTTACTATTATTATTATTGTGCCTCTTATCCTCATTGATGTATTAAATATCGACGGGGAAGTTATTAGAGTGTTGGCATTCACAATCTTCCGGAACCATGATCTGGAAACTTTTCCGGTAACCGTACATCCTCTGACATTACCCTAACTCTTTAAGACACCGGAGGTTCATAACGTGAGTGGTATGCCAACATTCACAGTGATGTAGTTAGACTGAAAAATGCGCATCCATGTCACTCTGAGTGATACTCCTTGGATCTCAGTATTCTTCACTTCTCCAAAACCTGGTAAAGGAATCCCACAGTTTGAATATCTCATGGTTCGCTTATGACCCGATGGATTATTGCTTCCACTCACCACAGTGCAACACGTGTTCCAAAGTATGCCCACTGCACGGTATTTGTCATTGATCGTTAATGGTCAGAAGTTGCTTGGACTAACCGCACTGTACATCACTATGTCTCTGCTTCGAACTAGCATGGACAAATTGATTCGGATATATGTTACAAGGATTAGCTCAACACTACGTCTCTTGGTCCATTCGTGAGAAGGATAGCCTATACAGCTGACACAATTCATCGAATTTCACATTTCAAACATCGACAGCGTATCATCATGTGGTTCATCAAAAATAACAACACTAGCCTTCAAAGCTTGTTGTTTTTAAGCCGAGGAACCGTATACACTGCACACGAACTCACGTGGTTGGACGTCTGCGGACTACTTCCTCTAGCATATCTCCTCGTTTCACTCATATTTACCTTAGTTTGCTTATCGTCTATCCGTTTCCAATTGCTCCACCTTTTATCATCGTTCTGATATAAAACTCCTGTTGCATGTATGAAATATAGCCCATGACCCCGATTTGGATTGCAATCTACTTCTAAGTTAACCATCCCCCCTCTACCAATCGGTCTGTGTATAAAACAGATGGCTGTTATTTGTTACTCGTTTCCACCATTAAACTACATGACCCCAGTTTGCACTTACTCACTACCTTTACGTAGAGATAATTGGAACCGAGAATCTGACCGTTAATATCCCGTTTACTGACAGGTGATTTTGACGTTATATTCGGGGTTGCAAACTCATGAATGGATGCCTAAAAGCTCTGCTGGGTGCTACTTGCGGAGTTTAATGGTTTAGCAGGAAGCATGACAACGTAGGTTCTACTCTCAGCTCATCCTACCTCCAACTGGAACGCTGCACTATAATCATAACAGATCGAACAAAATCCACGCTGCACATACAGTTCAGACGAATTTCATCCTGTTGGCCTATCGGCTTCCATCCAACTCTGTAACGCTACAAAGCGTTTGGAAATTTAAGCCAAGCGTATCCCACCGAAATATTCAACAAAAGACCAGGTCTGGACTTGAGATAACGGTGCTTAACGCTTTCCAAAGTAAAAATATGCCAACATTTTGCGCTGAGATCCACGAGCGACCCGTGGGTTCAGTCGTGCGAAAGAAACAGTGGAATTAAAGTGAGATACAGGGATTATGGTCAGAATCCAAATGAGTCAATGGTGATAGGGGTATGCGTCCGCCAATGAAAACGTGGTAATTGTATCCTCTCTTTAGTGCTGTAGCTGTGCATGCCTCAGGGTCTCTTTGCAGCAGTGTCACATTGGTTACCTCCGATTCGATTGAACATGATTACTCGGCAAACCGATTTCCTAGCCCCTTTTCCTCTATTGTCTTATGTCTGCTTCTGTTTTTAAGCGTTGCAACGAACCTTCGAACAACGTGGTCAATTTGATCCACTGCTACAACAATGATTGTCGCCGTACTTAGCCGTCTTGCAGAAAACATCTGACTTTATCCTAAACTGCAGTTAACTCTTAGTTTTTTGTAGCAATATTTTTGTTCTGAGACTGAACGGAGCCCCCACAGGGTTTGTCCCAATCTCGATGGTAAAGCGCTTTAATCTAACAATATTACAACCATTGAGGAAGCAAGGCACTTTCTAACCAATCAGGTACAACCATTTTATATAGACGACGTTTCGCATTGTGACAATGAACGATTCGCTCCTCACGGACCAGACGTCACTCCGGTATGTCCCCTAACAATGGTTTTGAGAGTTGACTGTGAACTGACCTGAAGCAGTCAACAGGAGAAACTAACACATACTTCCTATACAGATCATACCGAAAGCAGATTGCGGCTAGTATCCTTTACCGCCACAAGTGTACTGAAGCAGCCGATATCCTTGTGCGAGGATAACTCTCTCGACGCACGCGGACTTTGCGCGAAAGCGTTAATGGTTGATGCTATGAGTTTCACTAAAGCGCTGACCAAGTTCTTCCAATGATGTACAAACACGGGATAGTCACTGCAATCTAAATGACTCGCGGTCGCGCATGGCCTGTGACTTACCAAAGCTATGCAATTTTTATCACTATGGCGCCCATGGGGAACCTGGAGATTATCTGTATCCTGACTCCGGAGCAGCGTAGAGTTCGGTCGATTACATCATGCTCCACAAACCTACTGATAAGCCGCACATGTTGGTAAGAATCCGTAGACGTTGAGACAAGAGTACATATCTCCTTTTGGGGTTCTCAAAAAGATTTGAATCTTGATCATCATATTCTACTAACAAACTTCTGAATTACGGACTCGGTAATCCTATATTCGGTTGTTCAGATGATTTCCTTCAACGTCATCTGAAGGTGAGTGTTCGCAGCACGCTATACGACCCAAAGGAACTATACAGTGTTTTTTACCCCTAGGCCAGTTAATCGGACCACGTCTATTACTGGTCTTTACAAACAAACCCGTGGGCTACTTTCTTCAGCTTTTCTACTCTTCGCTGATTATTTAACGATATTATAGCGACGGCGCGGGGTGGGTAGAATGTGTATTGCCACAAGAACATGCCACTGACAACTCACAAACCCGTACAAATTTAGACCGTGTTTCCTTCCCACGACGCGACGCAGATGAGGATTTGTATCACGGGCCATTTCAGGTGCCTACGAGGTTGGGCTTCTAGCCAACCCCTCCATCTTTCCATCCCGTAGTTCCGTTCTTCTACACCCGATTCTGGGCGGCCATGAGTCGTTCGAAAGCACGCGATTTGCTCTCCCATGGCTGCATCACTCGACCCGCGTTCACTCCTGTGGGATTCGCTAGCGTCATATTTGTCTGATTCATTGTGTTCTTGACAAATACCTCCTCCATTGCTCTGGGCGCAGGATCGTTACCAGATACCGCCCGTAATCCACTGTCGGTTCGATCCGCAAAGGTCACGGAATCTTGTCTCGTCTCTTCTATTGTGCCCGTTGTTAATTCTCTACAATCCCGTTTTTGTTGTCGTTCCAGTTCACGAGTAGTCACTGGCTTCAGCCGGCCTACAATATGACATGCCAACAATAAAATGGAAAAGCGCGCGTACTTACAAATGGTCAATCGAGAAGGTGCTACTGCTCAAGGCAGCCAGGTGCATAGTTTCGAGCATACGTCATCAGGGCACTCATAACTAACTGCAGCAGTTACAGCCTCTGAAGCGTGCTTCCCAAGAGAGTTCTTTTGGTGCGTTTGTGCAAGGTGAATCTGTACTTTTGGGGTAAACTGCAGAGAGGATCGAAGAAATTAAATCGCCACTTTGGCCTCCTTCGATGCACGTTCGTGTGTTCGACGCTTCACTTTTTCGCAAATGCCAGATGAATATTTGAGACCGCACGTTGAATACACTATCTAAGTCTGGCAGTGCTAGAAGCAGCAGGACCTCGTCGCGCTCGAGGCTGCACAACACAAAGGAAAAGGTTGCTAGGAGTATGCTGAACCTTTTCTACTATAGGACCGTTGGGCATGCGTGTATAGGCAGATCTCTTAATGGAGTTTTAGCTCCTACAAAACCCAGTCACTCTTGCAGCAACCTGTTGAAACTCAATTGAAGCAACCACTCTGAACATCGGCGTCGTGGCAATTACTTCCAACCCATCGTTTATGCAGCATACCGAGCAGACTGATGTCAAACGTTTAGCCGCAATGATTTCTAGAGAAAGTCGCTGTCAACCACGAAGGCCAAGGAAGTGCGTACAGGTGTCATCCAAGGAGAAAGTTTATATCGAAGTACCTTTAAAAGGTGATATTGCCACTCTGAGGAAGCCTAAACGCTTGATCCCTGTTGCTTCTGGGACCCACTGTGCTGCTGAATTCGTTGTATTCAATCGAACTAGCAATTTTCCGGGACCGCAGCAGAATGCAGCTCTGCCAGTCAGCGCCAGCTCTGGTTGTGTATACCAATTTACATGTAACTGCGAGTCAGTTACAGAGGCAGAGCCGATATGTACTTGTCTTCCCGGGTGAGGGAACTTGTGCCGATGTGGATTCTGCTTGAGTTAGACCAGCAACCCTATCGTCTCCAAGTCCTATCGTTGCCTAAACCGCCGGCATC